ATTTAAGATGTGACCTAAATCGAATTCTACATCTTTCAGATATCTTGCTCAAAAAAATCAAATGGGAAATTAATCAAAATATTAGAATTATAAATATTCGAAAAATGTGTTTCCTCCACATAGTAATACTCCCTCTGTCAACGAAACAAGATAATGATCTTGGGATGGAGAAGGAACAATGATATATACTGTATAGAGAATGAAACTGAAAAGCAAAAGTAAAAAAAAGAAAAGTCTAAACGTCAGTTTCATAAACTAGAACAACATACAAGGGGAGCTAGTGTGTGTGTGTGTGTCTATAAATATATATATATATATATATTAGCCATTAGGGTGTAAAGAGAACAAATCAAAAGTGGCATTATATATATATATATATATATATATATATATATATAATGCATGTAGCCATTAGGGTGTAAAGAGAACAAATCAAAAGTGGCCTTATAGCGATACATATATGATGTTCGTCGGATCTAGATATATATGGGCAAGAGTTACTGTACTATGGAAAATATTAATTACTATGAATCCATTTTATCTTCTTTGCCTTCGCAGAATTTTATTTGAATTTCTGTTTCAATATTATAGTCCTATTTTCTGGATTAATTTATTGATGTTTAAATTTATTTTCATTACAGCCATGTTAAGGATACCATTAAATGTTAGTAATCAATTACTCCATATTTAGTTGTATAGGATGTCACAAATAATAATTTTAATTAAGTGTTAACATGATTTCATAAAATTTGAAAGCTTCTGCATTGTACTTGATTAATTAAATGGACTTTAATCAGTTGTCCCCACTGCCCCATAAATTCCGGCTCTTTTTTTCCCACTTTTTTACTTAATTTAACTAATGTAGTTTACTAAGCTAAGATCTAACGTTTGGTAGGTTATAAATGTCCCATATATGATATATTCATGAATTTTTTGTTTGAGGTTTTGGTTTGTCGTCAACCGATCGACGTGGCAATAAATATCACTATTTTTGTAGGTAAGAAGTACACAAATCTGGGAAGGAAGTTTGTCATCCATTCAATCATGGGAAGAGCTCCATGCTGTGAGAAAGTGGGATTGAATAGGGGAAGATGGACAGCAGAAGAAGATGAAATTCTCATCAACTATATCAAGCAAAATGGTTATGGATCTTGGAGATCATTGCCTAAAAATGCAGGTATCTCCAATTATATACAGATTAAGCTCGATACTATCTTCATTATTGTTGAAAATAAATCCAGTTTATAGGGTGAGTGGGAAATTGGTTTCTATGTGATTATACTTGTCAAATGTGACTCGAGTATATTTGCACCTACGAAACGTCAGACTGTAACTCACGGACCTGATCAACTCGTGTTTTTACCAACGGTTTTAGTTTTCCAATCTATTAAATAGAGAGTTGTTGCTTTGTGAGTTATGCAATAAAAGAAATAATTCTATAATTGCAACAAAGTTTGTAAAGATAAATCCTAATTGATGGGTAAAATCTTCATAGCAATACCATGTAGTAGTTCTTTGTGTATAATTTGAATTTTTCAAATTTACAAAAGAACATTACGTTATGATCAACGAATATGTAATTCTTTGAGAAAGGGAAATGGTTCAATATAGTGAACCAAGATGTGGCTATGAGCCAAATGGAAATAAGATTATTTCAATCCCATTTGTTGGGAAGGAATCACGAACTTATGTTGTTAGTTCTTGTGATGAGTCTTTATGGTAAAGCCGCAAAGGGTATGTTGATTCCATTTTGAAGAATTATACTCGGGAGTAAGTGAGTGTTCTTTCACAAATAATCAAAGCAAATTAACCATGACTATGTTAGATCACTTTGATAATTATTTTTTCGTGATGAGATTGAATGATATTTCCTCTATTGGGAAGTTCTACATGGAGCAACCCGAAGGTTTCAAGCTCTAAGTACCAACAATATAATTGGTAAACTCTTTTTATCATTTTGGAACAAGTCCAAATATTATCGATAAAAATTAAAGAGTATGACAAATGTCTCTATGAGACATGAGAAGACTATGGTATTTGATATCTCTGTGTGAAGGAGGTCTCAAATTGTCAGTAGCAAGTCTATTAAATCGAAATCTAATATATGAGACTTGCATATGTGATTTTAGTGGTTAAAATCGCACGAATGGAAAATGGTCTTATTTTGAGTCATGCTCATCATAGACAAAACTCTTGTAGAGTTTAAGCAAATATTATTATAGAGTTGCTAGAATGACATTAGATGATATTTTACTATTAATCATAGAGTACTACTATTTAAATAGAAAACCTAAGGATAATCGAAAGACTAGCATCTAATGAGTTGCACTATGCTTATGATGTAAGCAAGTGAATTGCATGCACGAGTTATCTAAGAAAATCGCATAAAATGCGATTGTAAGAGTACTGAGGTATTTGCGATATACTCATGATGTTAAGTTGCATCATACTAGATATCCAGTTGTGCTGGAAGGCTACACAGATACAAACTAGATATTGGATGTTGATGACCCGAAATGCACTAATGCTTATGGTTATGGTCTAATGCTAACATGGATATACGTGTCTTAAAAATCCCAAAATTAGATTCTAAATAGCTCACAATGAAATCCAATTTGTGTATATCGGATAATTGTGTGGGCTTAATAGAATCATTAATTTTGAATAGGATTTCAAAATAGGGATAATTTTGTCACTGGTCTATTAATCAGAGATGTGAAATGATACGTGGTCAGTTGTATGATGATAATTCTAGACATTATTTTGTCGTATATATAATATCATTATGCAATTGTTCTCAACTATAGATATTTTGCTTGACTACATGAAGTCGGAAGTAACACCGTGGATCCACAAACGTGAGGGTTAAATAGAGAGATAGTTGAGAAAATGACAAAAGAAATGAGACAGCCTGGAAACTATAAAAGTCTTTTGAAGGAAAACCCAATCTAGTTGATTGGAGATCCCAAGATCTAGGTTCAAAGGGACAACCTAATCTTAAGACTTAGTGTGGTTACTGTAGGGATAACATCAGCTCATTTCTGTCATGAAACAGTGATATAACGGATAAGGATCGCAAATTGTTGCTTTAATGACTCTTAAGTGAGTAATATCATTTACTATAGACTTATGAAGTCATCTATATAAGAGAGAAGTGGGGTCGCTTCAAAGGAGAATTGCTGAGGCTCAATTCTTTAGAAACTCTTGCTTAACCAGGGCGTGTCTATGGCCAAAACAAACAAAACAATGAGAATGGAACAAACCGAAAATAGTTCATGTGTATTGTACATGGGTTCTTTACACAATATAGATGGACAGTTCAAGGACATCTAGTCTACTGGACAGCTAGTAAATCAAACACACTTTACAAGGGGGAAGTTCAAAAGGTAACACCTACTTTCTCTATGCAGGGACTAGTTGATGAATATCAAAACCTAGCCTGAAACAATTTTCATTCATGTGGGGGATTGTTGGAAATAAAGCCAAGCTATAGGGTGAATGAGAAATTGATTTCTCATGTGATTGGACTTGTCAAATGTGACTCGAGTGTAGGCGCACCTACGAAACGCCAGACTGTAACTCACAGACCTGATCAATCCTTGTTTTACCAACGGTTTTAGTTTTCCAATCAACTAAATGGAGAGTTGTTGCTTCCTATTCAATTCGTATATTTAATAGAAAAAAATGTATGTTTTAACTCAATTAAAAAACAAAACCGTTATAACGGTTTTAGTCATAATTCAGTGCATTCAATTGAATTAATATGCCTTGAGTGGTTATGGGCGCTCTCCTCCTATAAGTGCTTGATTATTTCCAAGACTTCAAATGACTTAATTTTTCCTTCCTTTCTTCTTGGCTAAATAACCCTTTCCCTTGGTGTTCATCATGTTTCCTAGTTCAAGTTCGCCGATGATTCTTGTTTGGATGCAAGACTAAAATCACATTGTCCGTTGTATTCTGGGAGACAGACGCTCTCTAATCCTCTAGCACTCTGTGAGAGGGAGCGAATCTATTTTAAGGGAACGTGTCTTCACGTGCCTCAAAATTTCTTTCCTATTTCTTGATTTCTTGTTGCCATCACAAATGCGTCCCTACACATTTTACCAACAATTATCTCTTTCCTAGTTGTTGCAACTAATTAATCTTCAAACACAACTATTTGGAGTCGCATTTTGCTTCCGATTTTCAAGCATATTTTTCCTTTTCCATTCTTTCGCTGCCATCATCATTGGCCAAATTTTTTCCATTTTTCTTCATAGTGTCTTTTGGTCGAATAGGATTTGATGGTAAACTCTATAAGTTCCAACAAAGGAACAAAGAGACATCCCAACCATCACTTTCATCAACCAGCACTGCATGTTTACTCGCCGATTCAGGGGTTTAAACTTACAAGGTCTTTTTTCTCCCCCCAAAATGCATGCTAAACGATATAGGCATTCATTGTAGGGCTGTTGAGGTGTGGGAAGAGTTGCAGACTGAGGTGGATTAATTACTTAAGGGATGACTTGAAAAGAGGGAACTTCACTAGAGATGAGGAAGAAACCATCATCAAGCTCCATAAAACTCTTGGCAATAAGTGAGTTCTTCCACACTCTTTTTCCTTTTTTTCCTTTCTCTACCCTTTCTCAGTCTTAATCCATGATTGTGGTAGGTAGTAATTGGTCTCTGTTAAATTTGTCCCGGTTCAATTTAATCATGTCAGAAGTGCGTTCCAATCTCGTTATCAAATTAATATACTTCATGACTACAAAACAAAGAAGTGATTTTAAAAACGATTGCTTTTCTTTAAGAAAAAAATTGATAATAATATTATTAATAATAAAGTACTCGTTGAGATGAAAATTATGTTGTTTGTTTGATGTTGTAGGTGGTCATTAATAGCAAGACATTTACCAGGCAGAACAGATAACGAAGTAAAGAACTATTGGATTTCCCATCTCAGTAGGAAAATATATAATTTTAGGTCATCCTGCAATGGTTCCCTGGTAACCACCATTAATATGGCTGCCACTAGTAATAATAATGTCACAAAGAGGAAAGGCGGTCGAGTGAGTAGGGCAGTCGCGAAAAAGTACAACATGAATGTTCCAATATCATCATCATCATTAAAGTCATTCCAGCCAAATATGATAGCCGACAAAATGGTTTTAGTTGACGAAAAGGGCAAAAGGGATGACGAATTAACTAATAATGTGGTCATTCTTCATGACAAAGTTGAAAGGGAAGGTATTGATGATATCAACAGCAGTGGCCTACTCGGGGATTGGGGTGAGTCTTTTCTAGAAATGATGGAACAAGAAATCGAAGCATTGGGACCAGATGATTGGTGGATGGAACCACTGGCAGATGATGATCCAACAACATTCCATTTTGAACAATTTCTACAGGGTGATTCGATAACGGATTTCACTGAGATTTTGGGACATAATAGTAGAAGTGAAGGGAACGAGACAACCGGAGAAAAGTTCATGATGGTGGGTGATCAACTAGAAAATGCTTCAGCAGTTACACCTAATGATATTAACAATGAAAGTGACAATGGTCCCGGAAATTCTTCAGCAGACTCTAATGAGAAGGACCCTTATAAATGCTTCTCCCCATTAAATACCAATCATTATTATGACTCAATTTCATGGAATAAAGAAGATGCCGCCAAAGAATTCCACCTCTGGGATGATGAAGATGAGCTACTTTGGGCATAGGAATATCTAGTAGTAATAGGTAGTGTGAAAGTTGAAGAAATTAAGATACTTCTCTGTCACAAAATGACTGCATTTTGTAGTTTCAGGTTTAGTTCAAATTCAAATCTAAAGGGAGACAATCATTTTGGGATAGGGAGAGTAAATAAAAACAGAATAAGAAGTATAAAGCTTGTTACTGCAGGAGTCCATCCTTTGTATCCACAAGTGGTTTTTTATCCACTATCCATAAATTGTAGTAATAATATTTCATGTAGATTATCACTTTGCTCCGTGATGTTTTCGAGTCCGGCATCCCTAAACCCTAACTCGGAATGATTGGGGATATGAAACAGCGAGAAAATGATGGATGATACAGAAGAAGAGCAGTCCGTTCTCTTATACCCTGACAAGTCAAAAACATTGATGTCCATACAAGGTCAACAACCATTTCAACAAAAGCTGTATATAGTATTTACTTCTGTCATAGCCAGAAATTTTATTTTATTTTTTTTTTGGGTAGAATCCGTCATAGCCTGAATTACTTGAAAGTTTCCGTTTCTAAAATGCTTCAACAGATATTTTTTAATCATGGCAACCTTACAAAGTTCTGATCTTTTTATTTGGGATTTGGGTTGGCGATTTTCGAATGGAAGTCCCAAATTCAAGTGTTTCTATCTCAAAAATTAAGCCATCTTCCCATGATGGTTATTTATATCTTTTTTTCTTTTCGGTGAACTTGTTGTTTATATAATTGTATAAACAGAAGATTAGCATTTAGTATGGCCTGATCTACCAAAGGATTACGCGCGAAAAAATTACGCAAATTGTTCACCTTTACTAGGGTCACAAACAAATTGGCTAGTCGCCAATGTGTTTTTTTTTTTTTTTCCTTCACGATATAAGGTTATTGCCACTATAAGACTAGCCTTTTTTTAAAAAAAAAAAGAAAATCCAATAACGAAATTGGATAGTGAAAATCAAATTCTATGGCTTTTTTTTTTTAAGAGAACCAGGGCGGCACCTGGTGGGAATCCCCGATTTTTTCAAATTCTGTGGCTAACTGCATTAATAATAGAAGAAAATTTTAATAGTTCAATTCCTATATAGCTTCTGGAATTTTTTCTTCTTTTTTGGTAACGGATCTTATTCTTTTTTTATAACCTTCTCATCTTTCCTTCTTTTTCTGTTTATTTTTTGTGTTTTATTTTTTTATTTCATTTTTTGAATTTACATGGATTGAAAAAAAAAAGAAAAAAAGAATGCTAAGGTTAATTATCGTGCAGGAAAAAATTTTATCGAAACATCGCAAATGATCAATTTTTTAGTCGTTTTTTTCGTGCGAAATAAAATACTAGAGTGATGAAATTGAATCCATTTCAGTCCATTATTTCAGTTTCCGCCCAAAGTTTCCATTGAGGGAAATCATGCATCAACGGCGAAAGAGGATGAAAATCAAGAAAATATTGCTAATGTGTTTTTCACATTGGATTTTCAAAATCAAGCCACTCATTATTAGATTTTAAGAAAATAAAAATCGTGAGATATGGCACTAGCAAACCTAATAGAAAAACCAAAAAAAAAAAAAAAAAACCAAAAACATTCAACAGTCATGTGATACCCCTTCCGTCCTAAAGTTTAACAATCCATTTTGTTATACTCAAATTATAACACAACAATTTTGTATGAAAATGAGATAGACAAGAATATATATCATTTTCATCAGTGAAAACCCAAAAAAAAAAAAAGAGGACTTTGGATTGAAGTGATTAAAAATGAAGGATGATTTAGTCATCAGAAATTTTTAAATTGTTGCTGCGTTTCAGATCGGCGCCAAGGTGTTAATATATCTTCTTGATTTCAAAATTATTTCTCACTTAAAAGAAAACGTACTGCAAGTTCATGCTGTATATATGCATGATGGAGCTATTTCAGTTAAAAAAAATAAAATAATAAAAAATAAAGAAGAAGATATAATTGTTTATATTCTCTCTTACTCAAGTGAAAATATTTACGTAAAATTTCTTAATTAAAAACTCAACATGGACTATCATCTTAGGACATAGCGGTGTGTTATACTTTTCATGGAGAAAGATGCGTTAAAAATTCCCAAACTAAACTTAAAATTTGAAATATATGTTCGTAAAACTTGAGATTTGGTTCACTTTTTTATTAAATAGTTCAATAATCTGGGATTAGTTTATCATGTTCCAGGAAGGCCTAAATTTATCATAAATTTTCTGTAAATGTGACAAACAATTGAAAAGTAATTCTTTCACTTCTTTTAAGTTCAATAATCTGGATTAGCTATCGTGTTCCAGGAAGGACTAAAGTTATCATGAATTTGCTACAAATGTAACACTCGAAAAATTAAACAGTAATTCTTTACGCACCGAAAATTTTTTATAAAAAAAAACAGTAGTAAATTTATGGAGGAATGTAAATCGATTTATGATATTTCTTCCTCAATCTTCACACAACGTATTCAGAACGTAACCCTTCACTGAAGAATGTCTCGCTTTCTTAAGTATCGAGTAGTTCAATTTTGATTCATGAAAACTCAATTGAAAGAACAAGAAGAAAGGATAAATGCATACACATGAACTTCCGGTGAATGGTATAAAAAAAGGAAAAATTGGTCAGGAAAAATTGGTCGATCTATCCATAAGTTTAGATGCGTTGTTAATTCTATCTTCTTCTTTTTTCGGTTAGCCAATATTACTCTAAGTTATCCAACCGTTAGCCGGTTTTGTCTAATTTGCCATTTTCTATTTAAATTAATGGAATTCAGTTAGTTTTAATTATAAAAACACTTTAATACTTTTGAAAATTATAAAAATGATCCAAAAAAATTTTAAAAATAATCAAACAGTCTCTTTCCACATTTTATTTAATTTTTTGTATTTTCTATTTCTTTTCACTATTTCTCATAACTATACAAATACATATGATTTTTTAAAAAAATTATTTATTTTAAACACTAATGTGCAAATTTATATATATGCATATTAATTTCTAACTCATCGTTGATTTACATAAACATATTAATTTTTTTAATAATACAACTTAGCACTGATGATATTATTTTCTAATCCTTGTTTTACAATTTAAATAATAAGATTTTTTTACGAAAAACTAATTTTTTACAAAAATATTTATCATAGATTAAAAATTAATATATTAGTACATTTTAATTTATTACAAATTAACTAAGCAGACTATATAGATTGTATTATCCAATTCAAAAAATTATTAAACTAAAATATATGGTACAATCTAGTGTTTAGGGTGTTGAGCTTCATGAGAATAGATATAAGATTAATTCTCACCGTTTAAGCAGGGTCTACTAAAGATGAGAGGATTGAGTTGGATGGTCAGGTGATTTAAGATAGGAGATGCTTATTACTGTGTTCGAGGCCTTGATTCTCACTGGGGTAATCTATTTTTTTTAATAAAAAAGGTGGAGTCCAATACTGGAGTAGATTTTCTTTATTTTTTTCATTAAAGAAAAAAAAAACTTCCTGCTAAAGTTAGATATGTTAATATTTCAAAAACAATTATCACGAAATGTTAAACCCTTGCAATGATAAATATGCATAATTTTATAAAATAATTTGTACCATTTCTGTAAATGTCACGACACTATATTCTTGTGCAGGACCAATATAGAAACGAAATAGTTTTTTTTTTTTTTACTTTATGTTCGTACTTGGCCTTTAAAGAAAATTTATATCTTAGTTTAATTATTTTTTTAATTTTACAATACAATCTAAAGTATGTTGAATTAAATTGTAATATATCAAAGTATACCAATAAATATTTTTTTTAATATATGCTAATTGTTTTTTGGTTTTGTACAAAATTAGTTTTAGTTAAATAATCTTATTCTTTAGATTGAAAAAACATGGATTAAAAAATAGTATTATTACTGTTAAACCATATTATTAAAAGTTTAATATGTTTATGTAAATCAAACATGACTTACAAATATGTAATTATAAATTTGTACACTAGAGTTAAAAAAATAATATATTTTTTTAAAAGATCATATAATATATTTTTATAGTTACGAAAATTAGTAAAAAAATTAAAAAAATAAACAGAAAAAAAAATTTAAATAAAAATTGAAAAAGAGATTACTTTGTTATTTTTATAAATTTTGGGGGACATTTTTATAATTTTTAAAACCATAGGGTGTTTTTTGTAATTAAAACTAATAGAATTCCATTAATTTAAATGGAAATTGACAAATTAGATAAAATCGGATAATGGTTGGATAAATTAGGTTAATATTGACTAACCAAAAAAAAAAGGGTTGAATTAACAACGCATGTCAACCTTTGGATAAATCGACTAATTTTTCCTAAGAAAAACATACATAAAACAAATATGAAGTTTGTCCTCGGTCCTGAAGCCCAACTGACAACCCCACAGTCTTGGTCATCAATTAAAAATTGTGATTTATGATCAAACTAATGAGTTACTCGTCTTGAATAGCTTCTAATTCAGTTTTGAGATCACTAACAACTCCTGCAGTAAACCACACTACAACAGCAAACATGGACAGTTACATACCCTTATGATGGATACTTTTTGCTAAAATGCGTCTCACTATATTTGTATGAAGAAAATAGTTTAGAAAGTTTCCTATTGGAAAATGAAATTTGTATTACTGGTACGGAACATTATTATAAGTGTACTATTTTAGTTATTTGTACGTACACTATTAGTTTACTTAATGGAATATTTTAAATTAAGTAAAAATTTAATAATATATTTTCAAATACTCTATATATGCTCTTTATATTTATCATGACTAGATAATAGTAGATACTATTTACTAGTGTCACAGACGATCTAGATCATATATGTCCTATTACATAACTTATTTTGACAAAGAATAAAATGTCTCAACAACTCCTTTTTGTTGTAGTCCCAGCAGCAACAATCAATTAAACATGCGAGAGTCAATACTATTTGTAGTGCAAATCAATATCCAGTGCACAATATACATATCAATGGTA